GATTGGACTTCTCGGACGTTTTACGTCTCATTCGAGAACGTTCTTTCGTTCTAAAACCAAATGGTGGAGAGTACAAAGCATTTAAAATCTAGTTGTTGACCCACTATTGATCATGTGGCTCATCACATGGGTCAAAGTGTAAAAAAAAAAAAAAAAGGCATAAGTCATTATCAGCAGCTGATACGGACACAGGCTTTCTTTCTAAGCTCTTTAGAGTATCAGCCAGGCACTGAGCAGCTGTGGTATTCAACATGTCCCATCAGGGACGGACACGTCGACTTCTCCAAGAATTGAATCTGCAAACCTTCTTGCTGCAGATGCTCAATCGCCTACAGGCTACTTTTTGCTAATCATGTGCGTTCATGCTCCATTTCTCCTTAACATCATCTCACTGTCCCAGAACCTTCCGTCCGCATGAATCAATCTACTCTACCTGAGTAGGTTTAACACGCTGACAGAATGAGGAGCTGCTCGAAGGAAAATCACCAACTTGCCCTTATTGTCCACTTGCTACCCGCCTGAGAAATAAACCACACTCTTTCTCTGGTCTTGAATAAATCATTTTCTGTCATATTTCTGTCAGTGCGCCCCAGGGTGGCTGTGGCTACAATGTAGCTTGCCATCACCAGTGTGTGAATGGGTGGATGACTGGATGTGTAAAGCGCTTTGGGGTCCTTAGGGACTAGTAAAGCGCTATACAAATACAGGCCATTTACCATACTGACTCCCACCTGCCACAGATCCTGCGAACCAGCAGAGAATCATCGACGGAGAACTCGATCACAGAGTCCAGCTTCTCGTCTCTCTTGTCCAACAAGTCATCCAGCTTGAAGAGACAAACACAGGAAGTCAAACATAACTAAAATCTGCTGTAAAGTACAAACTGACTTTTTTGACAACCGACTGTATAACACTACTGTTTTCAGGTTTATGTAATTAAACTTTAATAAAAGCTTTGTTTTTCTCTGTGAAGTTTGAAGAAACTTAAAGTAGATGAGGACAATGTTCACAAAACCCTTTTAAACAGATTAATTATGCCACCTAAAACTATTTGCATCCATTAATTTTAGCCTGGTTATTCTGAGTTCTAGGTTTAATATATTTGAGAAAGTAGTTTTAGAGTTTGTGTGTTATCAATTTGTTAGGAAAGTTGAAACTGAAAAAAGAAAATGAAATGTAGACACTAGAAAAAGTTGCATTTCCTGTGAAAATGCAGTATGAATGCCGTATAGTGGAATCTGCTAAAAACAGCAGAAGAAGCAGAAGTGTCTGCTGAAAAGAGGCGAATAAGCTGAAATTTGTGCTAAAAGAAGTGAAGAAGCTGAAATTTTTGATGAAAAGAGTTAAAGAAGTTGAACGGTCTACTGAAAATAAAATGTTGCCATGAGTAGGATTCGAACTAGGGCCTCCCGCTCTCAGAATGGCTGTCCATCTCACTGAGCTAAAACACAGCTCACCTCGGCGAGCTAAACTGGTGATCACACTTGTAATAAAATAAAAAAAGTATAAAAGTTGTGAGCACCAAAAGCTGAAAAAGAAACCTACCAGCATGCTCAGTTCTCATGAATCAACATTAAAACTAGTTTGTTTAATCTCTTCATTAGCCAATTTGTATTTAAAGTAAAGCAAACTGCACGATGCTCATGAATTATTAAATCAACATTAAAAACGCACCAAAACACTAATAAATTAAGTCCTCACCATCTCTGCTTGTTTGACCGTTCGGGGGAATCCATCCAACAGGAATCCGTTCCTGCAGGCCGGCGACTCAAGGTTCTTCTCTATGAGCTCCACGACCATCTCATCGCTGACCTGCAGGGACACAAAAACTCCTCTTTATCAAGCAACAATATTTTGGCCTTATACATTTATTTCATGTCAATACAAAATCTTTTTATACAGCAACAGGAAATGGATATTAAAGTGCACAAACATGAGCAAACAGCACCAAACTGTGAGAGTCAAACAGATGGCAGAAAATCACACCAGGAACCTCGGTTACATGCTGGGAGATGAAATGGAAACAAAGAGCTCTGCAGCAGCTGCACAAACATGTGTACAGCGCTGGACACAAATATAGAGGAAAACACACAGACGCCTAGAAATGTTACAGAAGTGAGTTTTGACATTAAAGAGGCTTAAGAGGCCACAGAATCACAAACAATTTATTATGATACAGAATAAAATGGCTTTAAAAATCAACAAGATTCTCATCCCAACACCATTTCCCCATTCAAAACAAAAAAAAAAAAAAAAATCTTGGGGTTCATTGTTCTGTATTAATTTGTGCCTCTCATATGTAAACAGTTATATACAGAAGTCAGGTCAGCAGAGCATGTCCACCATAAAAGTATAACATGATTTTATAGGTGAATCTGATCCAGTCTCAAATTTTAAAATAGTCATTGTAAAGTTCATTGAACTTGATTTAATAAATCTCGATTTGAATGCTACATACAGATCATGGATTGAAGTGTAGTCTTGATAGTGAACATGCAAGAACATAAAAAACTGAACTGGAACAGACATCCGCCCGTCCACATTGTGCAGACTTCCAGGGATTTAAATTTTTTTTCTCTCTTCGTGCCTCTCTTATGGTGCGTGTTCACACCGAATGCGGCAATACGCATTGGTTACGCGTCAAGGTGCGAATGTGCACGCGACCAGCTAGGGGTGTCTGGTGCTTTTTGGTCGCGTGCACATTCGCACCTCGACGCATGACCAATGCGAATTGGTCACACTTCAAAATATGCAATTTTTTTTACACACGTGAAGCAGAAATGTGGGAGGAAGTAGTGCCAGACGGTATGTTTGCAAGATGGCAGCTTCCTCCAGAAGCGTGAGCAGTTTGATGAGTTTCACCATTTGCTCCCGGAGCTGCGCCTGGATGACGGCCGCTTTCAGCGGTACCACCGTCTTTCCCTCGCCCAGTTTGAGGATCTGCTGTCCCGCAGTGGTCCAAGCGTCGCCCGTCTAGACACTAACTACAGGCGCTCAATCCCACCTTCAGAGCGCCTGTCCATCTGCCTGCGGTTAGTAAAAGTGTTTTATACGGTAGTCCTTTATTGATACCTGC